TTAGCTGTCAGTTCCGGGGCAGAGCTCTAAGGCACGCTTCTCTCTTCCTTCTCCTGTCCTTCCCACTTGTGGCCAGGGTGCTCAGATTTGGGTTTGGGGATTGGGTAAACTTAGCTGTCAGTTCCGGGGCAGAGCTCTAAGGCACGCTTCTCTCTTCCTTCTCCTGTCCTTTCCACTTGTGGCCAGGGTGCTCAGATTTGGGTTTGGGGATTGGGTAAGTTGAGAGGTCACTTAGGTCTCTATCCTCTGTCTGCCACATGAGATAGAGGAAGATGCTTTCTAACTCTCAAGAAGAGAGAACCACAGCCCCTGCCTCCTTGGACAACATCACTGCCCCAAATGGGTTTTGGGGTACTCTCTATTCACAAGTATTTATTGAACACCTATTCTGGGCCAGGCATTGTGCTTGGTACACAAATTTGATATGATTCCTGCCCTCAAGAAGCTTAGTCTGTGTTTTAAATGTCTGCAGTTTGGTGGAACAGATGTCTATCTCTGAAATTGAGTCACAAACTGTCCTGTGTGGCAGGGAGGGTGGTGGATTGAGGAGATGCCACAGGAAGCCTTGTGCTTGCTTCAGACTAAGTTTCTTCTGGCTGATCTGTGCTGAGCCTCCTGGAGACTGACCACAAGGATATCAAGGCAGCATTTAACAGGGGCACAAAGGCCGGGACTGTGAGATATCCAGGGGACTGGGGGAAATAAGCGTGTGGAGAAGGGAAGAGTGGCAGGCAGCTTGAAAGACTCAGAAATGCACAGCACTGCCAAGGCTGCTTCAGCTGCCAAGCTCCCCTGGGCAGGAGCTGGAAACAGCCTCCTAATGGCTGTGCTATAGAGAGTTTCCAATTGAAAGAAGAGGTGTTTTTGATGTCTGACAGTCCAGAGCCAGCATTTCTCCAGTTTGATCTCTGGTTACAGTTCAAATTCCTATGCCAAATGATCTTATAAAGCCCCTACCATCCCAGTGTGAGGGTGAGAGGGTGGCCCCATGTCTTGGGAGAAGAGGAAAGATGGATACTGAAAGGGACCCTGTGGTTCGGGTCACTTGGTTTCCCTCCCTAGCCTTTCCGGCTGACAGCCACTGCCCCAGCCTGCATGTACATACCTTCACACCGCAGCACGGCGCTGTTCCAGACCACGCTGCCCTCTTTTAGGATACAGGTGATTGTCTCTGAGCCCTGCGTCCCCAGGAAGCCTTCATCACAAAGGAAGGAGATGGAGCTGCCCAGCTGGAGGCTGTCACCAAACCGTTTGCCATTTACTGGAACACCAGGATCCGGGCACTCGTTGTGTCGGAAGGCTGTGTGGATAGATGTCAGGGACATGATTAGACAGAGCTGGTGTGCAGACAGACCCCCAGAGAAATAAGCTTCCTTATGATGGTAAACCCTAGATCTCCCCCAATTCCCCAAGAACCTATCATGCTGGAGAGAGAGCTAGATACCCTAGAACCTGGGACCCCAGGATTGGAAATGACATGCCACACTAGGTGTAAAGCAGACGCTGGTTAAACTTGATCTCCTGCCTTCCTGAGCACCTAATCCAACTTCATTCTAATGGACATTTATAGATCATTCAGTGAGCTGAGTGTTTCTCATGTTGGCTCACTTATACCATATGATATTATGAAGTAGATATAACCACCCCAGTCTGCAAATGAGGAAACTGAGGCTCAGTGTTGTTAAGGAGGAGCTCTGTCTCCTCAATGTTAAATCCACTCCGTGCTGCCCTAACTTCAGACAGTTATGGGATCATTTATGCTGCAGGCGAGCTGAACTGTAAATCCTGTGACACTGATGGACACTAAGCATCATAAAGTAGGCACCCTGGAATTAACCCCATTTGAGGCCATTTCCTTCCTTTCCTTTCTCTTGTCAGGTCTGCCTCTCATTCTGCTCAGGTAATTGATAAAACAGTGAGGGGGGAGAGGAAAGAGTCAGAACAGTGTAGATTTAATTTAATTTTATTGGTTTCGTGGGCCTGGGCAACTTATGTAATCTTGCTGAGCCTCAGTTTCCTGATCTATCATATGGAGGTCATACTTCACTTGCAGGGTCATTCCGAGATAGAAATAAAATGCAAGTTGATATGAACATGAAAGCAGTGAGTGTTTGGTGCAGCACCTGATGCATAGTAAGTACTCGTCAACTATGAGTTCCCTTCCTTCTTCTGTTCCCTTCATGGAAACATACCTTTTCCTACTCTGTCTCCACCAGGCACGTTCCCAGCCTTCCCCCATCAGGGGTGCCACAGTTCCTGCACTAAATGTTTCTGAAGCCAGGCTCGATTTGCATCCCTGCTGATTTAAGAATGGCAAATTTCTGGTGGAAATTACGCTCTATGGCTGCATGGGCATGTGCTACTTTAAAGAACCCACTTTACAGGTCGCTGAAATTCCCGAGAGATGGGAACACTTACACACTCAGGAGCAGAAGCGGCCCTGGAAGCTGCTGGATTTTTCTGGATGCAAGTGGCCTGCAAAGTTGGTGCTCCTTCCCACTACAGATGAGCTGCAGAAGCCCCTGACATGGAGATGACTGTGATGCCCCCATGCCTGGACTCAGCTGAGGCTTCAGCGCCCTTCCCTCTAAAACGTAAAATCTAGGCTAGCCCAGACTTCAGCCTCCCAACCTTTCTTCATTAGAAACTGTGACCATGAAGTTGCCCTGACATTTAGAAATATGGAATGGGAAGAAAAGTGGTGCTTGGCGCCCAGAAGTGCAAGTGTTTTCTTTTCAAAAGCCTACCAGCCATACACACACACACATGCATACAAGCACATGTAGACACATATGCATACAAACATGCATGCACACTTGAACACATATCCATGCATGCACACACACACACACACACAGCAAGCACATGTAGACACATATGCATACAAACATGCATGCACACTTGAACACATATCCATGCACGCACACACACACACACACACACACACACACACACACCACACTTGAACACATATCCATGCACGCACACACACACACACACACACACACACACACACACAGCAGTTATATGGAGCTATTTACAACATCTGGGAGCAAAAGCTTTAAGTGAAGGATTTAAACACTTCCCATTTTTACCTGTGTGCCTTTTCAAACCTCAGTTTCCTGGCATGAAAAGGGATCTTAGTTCACGGGTTTTTTGTTGTGGCTACGAGTGATGACTGTAGAGTGTTCAGAGCAGGGTCTGGCACACAGTAAGTGCTCAATAAACAGTAGCTACTATCATCATTGTCTAGTATGCTCCATGTGGAAGAAGGAGTAGGTTTATGCCCAAGGGCACTAGGGGTGGAAACGAGATCACTGGTCCTTGTTGCAGGGACAGAGGTGTCAAGTCAACATAAGGGACAGCAGTGAGTGCTCGCCAGCCGCGGAGCATGCCGTCTGGGAGGTGAGCTCGCTGACAGCAGCCTGCTCACGCTCTGCCTCGATGATCATCAGCTGCGATGTGGGAGCAGACGAGTGGCCTGCGGGGGAGACTGCACTAGCTCCGGAACACTTGTCCACCGACCACCGTTTCGCTGCGTGCATCTGAATAAAATGTAGATTCTGGGGCCTCATCCCCTTAGAAATTCTGATTCAGAAGGCCTATGATGGGTCCAGATTTTAATAAATTATTTCTATATATCCATCCAACTGTCTACCTGTATAAGTGCATAGAGAAATATGATATCTGTAATAGTGTTCACCAAACGTTGGACCACCGTTTCGCTGCGTGCATCTGAATAAAATGTAGATTCTGGGGCCTCATCCCCTTAGAGATTCTGATTCAGAAGGCCTATGATGGGTCCAGATTTTAATAAATTATTTCTATATATCCATCCAACTCTCTACCTGTATAAGTGCATAGAGAAATATGATATCTGTAATAGTGTTCACCAAACGTTGGCAAGAATCTTTTCTGGCTGGGGGGATTTGGGGTGTAGTTAACATTTCTTCTTTGACCTGTCCCCTTTTTGAATATTCACTTATTGGCTGTGTATCTTTTTACAATGGTGGATAAACCTCGGAAAGAAATGTTTAGTAAGGTGGGTTCTCAGGTCTGTGCGCTGCCCTCAATGTGAAACTCACCCTCTGGGATGCCTCAGCCTCCTCCTCCCATCTACTCAGCATGTGCTCCTTTCCTGGAAAGTGGGGGCTCACTAGGATGCAATTTTCCTCGGAAACTATGAGAATCCCTTTTTGCTCCGAGTCCCTGCTCAGCGTACACACCTACTTTGAACCCACAGAGTTTCTAGGCCTCGTCATCTGGGATGAGTGGGCTTCCTTGGGATAGCTCTTATGCTTGTTCTTCCTGCTCCCGCCAGGGTAAGAAAGAGCATTTGGTCCTTTGTGGGTCCTTCCATTCAATAAGTGTTTGCTGATCCTTACCACATGTTTGCCCTGTGCTGGGCAGAGGGGATGGAAGGTAATACACGTCCGCTCCTTTCCAGAGCTCATGATCTCATGGGGAGAGCAGGCAGGAGGACAGATAAGCTGAAACCCAGTACTTCAGTGCTAGACTAGGAAGATTAGGAAAGAAGACAGAGCTGGGCTCTACTTCCTCCTGCCCAAGGACGATGGAAACAGGAATCCCCCGAAGGAGACACACCTGAGAAGGCCAATTGTTTCCAGCAAGTCTGGTATCCTAATGAAGGGTGGTGAGGGGAACAGGGCTTTAGCCTGGCTGGTTCCTTGGAATCTGGGATTCCAAGTGGCCCACCATGTAGTACTTAATGTCTTCACCTCAACTGGGCCCCAGGAACAGGTGGGACAAGGAGGCAAGGCTTCTGTGACAAGGGTGGGAGTGGGGATGGAGATCAGTGCTGTCAAAAAGATGAGTTCTATGCATGTGTTTGTGGGCGTGGGACAGGGCTTGAATTGGGGACTGACATTTCATAAGCTTCCTCTGGGAAAGGATCTAACCGCACAGGCAGACCCAGCTTCAGCCCCAGAGGATGATTTGCAGTGGCCAAGTTCACCAGCTTTATAGCTTCTGTAATCTGATAGCCACTTCTCGCTTTCTTTGGTGGCTACATATCTCCACGCTTCAGCCCCTACCCCTGCTCCCACTGTAACCATGAGATACAGAAATGAACATAATTATCACTGAGCTTCAGACTGCTTCTAGAAAAGAGGCCTGGGATTGAAACTGCAGGGAACAGCTTTCAGACTGTGGCTCTGGGAAGGGCTATGAAGATATGCCCTAAGAGTTGGCTCCATTCTTGGAGCCTTTGGAGCCAAACATGGCTCCAAATCATTATTTTTGATTTGGCTATGGGAATGAGAACTGGGCAAAGCAGAATGTGAGCAGCCCCGCCAGAGACACCAGAGGTCAACAGTAAGCGGGAACTCAGGGATTTGGGGCAGCACATCAGAGAGGGAACTAGGAGCTAATGAGAGAATGACAGAGGTCTTCTCTCCCTTGTGCCCTCCCCAGGTCTAGCTGGGCCTTCTAGGAGGGGGCAAGTGAAAGGGAAACATGAGGTTCCAGTCTCCTTGTACATTGTATATCACATCTATGGGAAACAAACGCTCCAAAGAGAGTGACTCCACAGAAAAGAGCCCCCTGCCCAGCAGCCAGAGCTTTATGCTTTTTCCTGGTCCTGCTGGGAGCTCTGTGCCGGGGCACTGCAGCCCAGCAATGTCCTTGGAACTGGCCCATCAACACTCCCCATGGGAGACACTCAGAGGCATGGTCAGCTGGCGACAAGGGGAGGACTCACTGGTAAAGGTGATGTTGAAGCCCCTCTTCCCCGTGGAGTGGTCAGTCTGGAACTCGAGACGGGCCACGTGGCCACTGCTTGTGATGGAGGAAGGAAGCTGGTTTCCTGAGAAGGTGCCCAGGACAGGGGCCTCAGCGGTGGCCCCATCCTTGATGACCAGGAAATCAAACTGAGGCTCCACGTCAATGTCATTAAAGGCCAGGTGGATGCGGCTCTCGGGCCTGGCCAGGATGAGCCAGACGCAGTGGAGGTGGTTGCCGTAGTCCTCTGGGTAGTTGGGAGACAGGACGACCCCAGAGGGGCTGGTGAAGTTGAAAAAGCAGGAAACTGCAAGAGAAGAGTAGTGGACGTCAGTAAGTGCCCCCAACACTCCACCTGGGCCACTGAGGGCTGGCAGGGGAAGTGTTTTCTTAGTTTAAAGAGCAATAGAGAAAAGGGTGGCACAAGGGTTGAGCTGGACTGGCTGGGCTCTGGGCTCTAGGCAGGAGGCATGCTGGGTTCCATGCTGGGCATGGCGCTGGGAAGGGACCGTTTGGCAAATGGCAGCCGTGGCGGAGTTGGTCTTCTCTTGGCCCCTCCCCACTTCGGGACACTTGTCCAGGCAGTGTCTGCATGCTCTTGGTCTCTTGGGTTAGGGAAAACCATCATTCAAGCTTAAAGTAGAGTCACAGTCCCCAACCCCTCTCAGCTTGGTTTACAGCAGTTGGAAAGGGCATTGCTTAATGATATAACGGTAATCCCCCCAGGTGGTAACCAGGGTGGAGACAGTCCAAGGCCATTGCTCTCCTTTAAATGCTTTTAATGGGGAAATAATAAGTATGCCATGAAGATTCCGACAACCCAAAGCTACAACACTATTGCTAAGGAGGTGCCAGGGAAGCACCATCTTTCAGAGACCAAAGCTTTTAAGGACAGTGCGTGAGAAAGGTGACAGGGTCTCATCTTGATGCCCTGCTCGCTTCCTGTTAGCCTCCCCTACTTCACCCTAAGGATCCACTCTTCTGAAAAACCTTATTTTAAACCTTTTTCATGCCAATTACTAGCAGACCCTGGAACAAGGATGAGGCTAGAAAAGTGTCATAAATGGAAAAACAAACAAACAAACAAACACTAAAAGGAAAATAATAGAATAAAAAAATAATTGCAACAACTATGACACAGGGAAAATATTAATATTGATTTAGAGCTTTTACATAGGTACATCACCAAGACGAGCAAAGCACATGCTCAGAGGATTCACATGGGAGAAAATAGGAAAACACAGTCCATCTCACTAGAAAAAAATAAAGAAAAATGATAAAACCTAATATTGTTGAGGCTTCATGGAAACTCAAGATATGTATTGCCAGTTGCAGAGTAAAGTGTTATAATCCTTTTGGAAGAGAGAATATGAATTCTTATCAAGAGCCACAAATGCTCTGATATTCAGCAATCTCTAGGAATTAACTCAAAAGAAAAAGAGCCACATGGACAAAGATATTTACAGTGACATAATTTTATTACAGAGAAAAAATGTGAACAGCCTATATGTCAGTCCAATAATGTGCGGTAAATTATAGCCTTTAATGTGATGCAGTTTGGATGCCATCATTAAAGTGAGAAATACGTCCCTGTAGAAAGAATGTTAGACGTCATTTTAAGTAAAACAGCAGATCATAAAATTATATGTGTACTTTTAATTATAGCTATTAAATATCTGTTTATATGTTAATGAGACTGGACATGAGCCCCCAAATAAAAATTGTATTAGAGTTGTAGGTTTCTGAGTGATATTTTTTCTTTTCTTTTTTTTTTTTGTCTTTTTGTCTTTTTTCGTGACCGGCAACGGATCGCAACCCTCAGTGTCGCGTCCGTACCGGACCGGGAAGGGCAACGGGATCGCAACCCTTGGTGTTGCTCCCGCACCTCGCTCAGCCAGTGAGTGGCTGGTCTGTATGTGGGATCTGAACCCTCGGCGGGAGCGCTGCCGTGTTTCCCAAGCAGTGCACTGTAGCAGTGCGCCACCGGGCCGGCCCGATATTTTTTCAAAATAAAAAAAAATTTAGTTCTTCTGATTGTAAAAATGCTATAGGCTCATTCTAAACAGTTTTTTAATATATAAAAGTGTGAAGAAGATAAAAATGAATATGGGAAAACTTTAAATCCTTCCATAACATTTATATTAATGTTTGGTGGTAGTATTTACACTGAAGTGAGTATAATATTTGACTTACTAATTATAATGAAGCTAAGATGAAAAATAATAATGAAATCATGTTTGCCAAAGGAAAAAAGCACACAAAACAAAGGGATCGGTGGCTCCTTGCAGTGAGTTTCTTCCTGATGTTCCCTACTGCATGCATCTTTCCCTTTTTTGCATGAGTTATTTCTTTCCCAACTGCTGCTGAAAGCCCTCCCATCAAATTCAGCAAAGTAAGCCTGGTAACTAAGACATATCCAGTCTCATCTCTGTCATCCCTGTATTTTATAAGTATAGAAAGAATTAGAACTAAGGGGAGAGGAAGACATAAAAAAGCTTTTAGCAATGCAAGATATAATTAATATGAGTGATTATTATATATTATTGAGGGTTTACTAAGTACAGACACCATTTCAAGCACTTTTTATCAATTACTTAATTAACTGTCACAGTAACACTACGAGAGAGGTACTGTCCCTAACCCCATTGAAAGATGGAGACGCTGAGGCACACAAAGGTTAAGTAACTAGCCAGGGTCACATGGCTAGTAAATGGTAGCATTGAATCCATATCCATGCAATTTGTTTCCAGGGACCAAGCTCTTAGCCACCCCTCAAATCTGTCTCCCAGCACGAGAACAATACTGCCCAGTGGGCCTAAGTCTGACCTCAGACATTCCTCAAATCTGCTGAAGATCCAACTGTGAACCCCAAACATGACATCAGCACTGAATTGGGGGGCTCTAGGCCAGACATGGATGACTAGACGCAGCCACAGTCTCCAGCTTTGTGGTGATCCAGTGGGGAGCATGATGTGAATAACAAGGAAACATAACCCAAAGGCAACAAACTTGAAGACAGAAGGGGGCAAATTATGCGGCCTGCCAGACAAGTCCAAGGTGGACTGAAGACAAAGAAAAGTGCCACAGGTTCAGAGGGAAGACGACCGGGGCGGAGTAAGTGTGTGAACAAATGGATTTGCTGCACAGGAGAATTTGACGAATAACACTCCCATCCCCCACCCCATCGTCCACCCCATAATCTATTACCTTACTCTTTTTTTCTTATAGCCTTTTCCAGGGACACTGCCTTGGAATATGAACAGCAAGATACAGTAAGTCCATTTATCATCTCTAAAATTATCTTGTTCAGGTGTTTAGTTGTTTATGGTCTGTCCCTTCCATATCCCAATACAAACGGATACTCCATGACAGCAGAAATCTTGTCCATTTGATTCTGCTCAATCTCTAGTGGCTCCCACATGCTTGGCACGTTGTAGGTGCTCAATCAATATTTGCTGAATGAATCAATAAGTATCTAACAGTTGAGACTATCCAAAAAAATGGTGACATGAGCACATGGACCTCACAACCCCATCCCACTCCAAATCTCAACTTGTAGGTGCTCAATCAATATTTGCTGAATGAATCAATAAGTATCTAACAGTTGAGACTATCCGAAAAAATGGTGACATGAGCACATGGACCTCACAACCCCATCCCACTCCAAATCTCAACTGAAAGAGTTGACCAAAGTCTGTAGAAATGGGTGAACACCTGCTTCAGTTCTGGAAACTTGGGAAAAATGCTCTGCCATGACTCTCCACCCATTTCCCTTAGACACAGTGCAGATGTGTGCTTAAGTAATTTAGAGTAGAAAAGAGAGTGACCCAGACAAGTTGTTCAACAGCAGACAACAGAAAGCTGCTCTCAAATATCAAAGACCTCAACAAATATACTATTCACATAACATTCATAAAACACTACCTAAAGATGTTTTCTATCCAACCGAGAGATGAATCAAAACGAAGAACTCAAGTATCAGAAAGCTACGGCTAATAAAAATTTTTTAAAAAAGGTTGGCAACAAGCAAACAAACCAACATAGTAATGAATCTAAATAATTGCTTTAAACATAGTTATATAAAATGGAATGTGAGTGTAACGAATATTCTTTGGAAGAGAAAATCACTCTATCACTCCTACCCGAACCCCAGGGTAAAATATCCCAGATTATACTGATATAAATAGTAAACTTGGAGCAAGGAGATATGCTAATTTCCTCATCTTGAAAGGAATTGTTTTATAGTTTCTGTAGTTAATTAGAGAAATATAGGTTAGAGCATGTTTTTAAAGATGTTAAATGTAATTAGTAATATAATATGAAATAGCATATCTTCAAAATTACCAAATGGGAAAAAGCAAAGCAGTCAATTTAGGAAAAAAATGGAATTCAAAGGAAACAACAAGGAAGCATAAAGAGAGGAACTGTAAAGTTAGATACTAAAAAACTAAAAGACAAAACGTCATTTATGACGATAAATGTATACAGGTTAATCTCCTAGTAAAATATAACTCTCACTTGGGACAAGACACACAGCTAAAACAAAGTGAACCTGAGTAGGCATAAGTAAAGGAATGGGCAAGATGGCTCAGCTTCACATTAGAAGAGTGTTAAAATTTGCTGATGCCCAAGTTCTAGAGATTCCTACTTAACTGGTAGAGTGGGTCCAGGGCATCACAGATTTTAAAAGTTCCCCAGGTGGTCCCAGACTGCAGCCAGGGTTTGAGAACTACTGGTGGAAGCAAATGTGAACAACAAAAAAAAAAAGGAGTTTTTTTCCAGCCCGAAGTCTTCTGGACAGCTACCAGGAGACATTTCTTCTCACACCCGGAAGAAGATACTATTAGAACAATAATGTGGCCCTAAAAACTCTTCCATCTCAAGAGATAACTCAGACCTGTTGCAACAAGGCCAGGAAAAGGAAGCGTTCATTGTCCTACAAAGTTCTAATGTTTCCTGCTCTGGGAAATTATGTATGCATGTTACATGATAACATTTCTATTAGAAAACAGGAAAGGAAAAATGAGGAGCAGAAGAATTGTAATTGGATCTCATCCCTATCAATCACCCAGGTTGGAAGAGGGAGCTCAGGCATTTTCCCCTTCAGAAGTAGTTACCAGGTTGTGCTCAAGGATCTCGACACTGGATAAAGCTTTAAGTCAGAGGGCTCTCACGTGGCTCAGACTTTTGAAAAATAATAAAGGTGGAAGCTTCATTCATAAGAGGATGTGTAATTACTGTGTGTAACACTGGATTATTCGTTAATATGATCTTGAGTAGAAAATAAAAGGGGCTTGTTGAAGAACC